GTATACAGAGAATACCTACATTGGGACCTACAGTCTGTAAATCTTACTTACATTGCGCTACTTAGATCCCTAGGGAAGTGCCCTGTTTTCCTTTGTATCAAAAGTAGCGTGCAGGTCCTGTCGGACTGCTGTCTTTCTACAGGTAGCTCGTCATCTCTTGCTTGAGTCATCACTTTAAACCCTAAACACTAAACCCTAACGCTGCGAAAGGCACACCCCAGTGCGGGCACTTCCTTCTCCTACGTCTTCCGCTTAAAGGCGTGGCTACTTTGTGTTGAGATTGGTGGCGTTGCGACCTTTAGCTACTGAAAGACTGGTATGTAGGTTCTCTAGGGTTTATGGTACAGGGTTTAGGGTTCAGGCGTTTTAGGGTTTAGGCGTTTAGGGGTTTAGGGGACCAGTTGCTATTGAAAGCCTGGGGTGTGTATGTTTTCTGTTTTGGTTGCAATGCATAGTCGGGCCCTGCAAGGAACGACCATGGGCTATACCTTTATGGGTTGTTCCCAAAATTATGGGCTCCTTTGGGTTATAGACTAAAGTACGGCACCTAATATTTAGGGGTACCAATATCAGGGCCTAATTTTGCGAACTACCTTTATGCATTTCATTTTCCATGTTCTCTTTCCCGTTCGATTCTCTACTAGAAGATCCCTATTTATTGTACCCCTTGGGCCCTGCAAGGCAAAAGCAAAGGGTCCCCTAAACCCTTCTCCCTGTACATGTTTCCCTTGGTCCGATGTTCTCTAATCCGCGAACCGACTCTGCAGCTTCTGACCTAAAGATTCTCACATGCTTCAGGTTTTAGGGTTTAGGGTGAAGGGTTTAGGCTCTGAACTCTAAGTCCCCGACCTTTGTAAGTAACCATTGACTTTCCGCTGGAAGCCCTTACGCAGAAAGAATTTGACGGCCACAGGGCGGCCGTGGGGGACTTGCCAGCCAGACTTTGCATGATTTTGTATAGTGTTCAGGGTTCCGTGTCCCTTTAAAAAAGGGAGTAGATGAGGGGCTATTTAGGGATATATCGTATATCCGGGGTTATAGGAAGATATAGGGACGCCAGCAGAAGTTGGCCGCGTGCTGCACCATGGCGCTGTTCCGGCATCCGCGGGAAGTGTTGGAGGCTTTCACGTGCTTTGCTGACGCGCCGCTAGAAGGGGTATCAAAGACCGAAGTGCAGAAGGCCTATGATGCCATTTTCTCGCTGCCCTTTTTCGCTGCACTGCCAGAGGCGAAACTATTCCCAACAGTGAAACGATGGGCACTGGAGTCCATGGACATGCCACCTGATGTGTCACCGCTGGGATTGGGTGCACAGCGGGAGCTTTCTGCCCGCCAGTGCAGGGGGTTGCTGGCCAATGCCACGCTCGGCAACTTGCAGGACCTCATGACAGATTGCAAGCGCCACCAGGGCGGACTGGACTTCTGGCGGCACATCCGCACCGCTTCCTTGGAAGCACCCTGCTGTGGTGTGGCGGCCCACAAGCAGGCATCCATTCTCCTTTATTTTGCTGAAGCGATGCGCGAAGATGGAAGCGAGGACGAGCGCGTAGTGTGCTTCCACCGCCTCAAATGCCCTGATGTGGCAGAAATTCAGATGATGCTTTCCACAAGTACAGAACCAGTGATGAAAGCCGAAGCTGAAGGTGCTGCACAGGTCCAGCTGCATGAAGCCCCCATGGAGGATGCAATCCATCTAGATAGAACCTGCCGGGCCTTCGTGAACTTCGCCAATGCCGAATTTGGGTATGGGTGCTTCATCTCATCGGCGACCCAGGAAGAAATTCTGCAGATGTGCTGTCCAGAGTTCAATGTGGGTCTTCTCTTTCTGGGACGGATGGCTGACAGCGAGGTCGTCAACGTGTATGGCTGCCGCCGTTATACTACCTACTCTGGCTATTTGGACACATATCGCTGCACGGGTTTGCTGCAAGCGAGCAGCCACCAGGAAACGCCTGTAATCCACGACATTTTGACCATAGACGCTTGCATGCACCGGCACTTCGAAGAGCAGGAGCAGCTGCGTGACATAAGGAAGGCCTTCACCGCCTTCCATGCCTACTCTACATTGCGTGGTCGAGATGCTGATGGCCAGGTGCCGGCTATAGCTACTGGCCGTTGGGGCTGCGGCGCTTTCGGCGGACTGCCAGCACACAAATTCGTGCAGCAAGTGCTGGCTGGACGCCTTGCAGACGTCCGACTCTGTTTCTCCACTTTCGGGGAGCCTGCAGGCTGTGACAAGATGCTTGACCTTCTGCGGCAGGAACCTCGAGTCAGTCTGATGCGCACCTGGGATGTACTGCGCCGGCAAAAGCGAGGAGGTTTTGAAGACACCTTTTGTGCAGGGCTGGCTGAAGGATCATTACGAGCAGGCGCAGGTAGCGCAATCCCAGAAGAAGTTGATCTGGATGTGTAGCAAGCTAAGCCGCAGTAATGTACAGGATTTTTGAGCGGAGCTTTGCCTTGCGGTGGGAATTGGCCCCTCAATTAGGCTGTTAATCCTGAATCTGTAATTATGTCTCCAAACCGTAATCTGAAAAGGCAAAGCTGCTGCAAGCGTCTGCGTGCCAGCATTCTATCCTCCCTGGCCCTTCATCTCCAGAAATCCCCACGTAAGTTGCAAGTTTGGTAGTGGCTGGCACTGGGGCCAAATGCGCAGCAGGTGCTCTCCTCCGCGGGCGGCTGTTTCTCAAAATGTGGGTGCTTCCGAAAATTAGGGGTACCATTTTGTGGCCAAGAAGGGGTTTCTAAAATATAGGGGTCCGTGTAAAGTGGGATATAGGGGTTATGCAGGTCTAGGAATATATATATATACATGTATGTATATACATAGATTGGTAGATGGAATTCAAGGGCTCAGACAAGTGGGCTGCCACTTGTTGGGGTCCTATAATGAAGGTTCAGGTGCTTTTTGATGTTCATATTTAGGTCTCGCATGTATGGAAACTAGCATGAAGTCCTCGAGAATAAACGGTGGGACTGTCGCACGGCCATCTTCAGCATATTGCTGAATAGTGCTGCGTGAATGAAGCCTTGAAGTCTGATATATATATATATACCCTAAACCCTAAACCCTAAACCCTAGAATTCAAAAGCCCCAAACCAGGAACTTGAAGAGGAAAAACTATGCTTCCCTGTACAGGCGTTCGTCGGCAAGCAGCGGTTCGAGCGCAGATGGTTGAACGCGGCAGTTTAGGGTTTTAGGGTTTAGGGTTCTCAACCCTAAGCCCTAAACCCTAAACCCTACAAGGTCCTAACCATGGATGTTAGGGACCCCTACTTGGTTTAGGGTTTAGGCATTAGGGTTTGGGTTTAGGGCTTAGGATTCAAGTTCATGGGTTCTAACTGTGGGCCCCTAACAGGTTCAGTAGGGTTTTGCAGTGGCATTCAAAACGGACATACGGATATCAAGGTATAAGGGCTCATACGAGAGCCCACACGCCGGACCTTTGACCCAAACCCTCAACCCTAAACCCCAACACTGCCACCAATGCTGGGATCCGATGGCTTCAACAGAAGACAAAAAAAGACTGTGGTGGTGTCCAGAAATTGAGATTTAGGGTTTAAGGTCTAGAAAGGGTTGTTACCTCAAAAGTGGAGAATCAGATGGAAGAGACAGTGGAAAATTACAGGGAACTGGAAGTATTCATAATTTCATAGGGATGAGGGTTTCCAGAATTCGAGGTCCCCTTTTTGGAGGGTTCCCATAATAAGGATCAGAGTATATCAGAGTCTCCATCGGGGTCCGTTTATTTACGGAAACTACAATAATCTAGCCCTAAACCCTACACCCTAAAGCAGCTGTTGTGTTGGAAGCTATTGAAGTGTGCAGGGTAGACATGAGACGAGGGTCTGAGGGTTTAGGCTTGGGGCAGAGGGTGTGCAGGAGTTAGGGTTTAGGTCTTTAGGTGTGGGGTTTAGGAATTATTGTTTAGGACCCTAAACCCAAAATCCTAAGGATTTAGGCCATGTTGCCGAGTCTTGGCCTCATCTTTGAGATTCTTGAGTATATAGGGATTGTAGGGTTTATATTGAGCTTATATAGGAACAATGGAATAGTGAAATGGGAGCTACTATAGTATATTGAGGTTCTCTAGGGGATTTCTTATCATTGATGCTGATCAACTGGGATCAGTATGCTACCGCCCCTAAATGAAATCCTGCCCCCTACAAAACTTAGACCCGAAACCTTACACCCTAAAGCTTACGCTTGCGCACTAAATCTTAAGCCTAAACCTTGAACCCTAACCTTAAACCGTGAACCTTAAACGCTAAACTTTGAACTCGAAGCCTTGAACCTTCATTCCTGAACCTCAACCAGTTTGTCCTCCTTCCGTGACCCCATCTGGTACCTGATATGAATACGCTCACCAAGGAACCAGTAAGAGTTAGCGGTTATGTTGATCCCTATGACCCAATATTAGACCAGTTTCCATTTCATTGTGCATCTTTTTCCCCTTTTCTTCTGCATATCCTAAACGCTACACCCTGCATAGTAGTTTCCATTTCGTTTTTTGTTTCCACCATCCTGTTTCCAAGTTTTAGGCTTGTACCATTTCCAATGGATTTTAAGGTTGTAACGCTTTCAATGGATACAGACCCTTGGGAACATTCTCGCCTTAAGCTTGCCAAGCTTCAAACGTTAAACACCTAGATAATCCTAATCAGCTGAAGCCCGCGCCCGCAGTAAGGGAGTGGCCGTTTCAAGGTTTTTAGCGCATACTAGTACCCTGAACTCTAAGCCCTAAAGCCTAAACCCGAAGCCCTAAACCCTAAACAATAAGACCTAAAACCTAAATCCTGTTGCTTATCCCAGCCCTAAACCCTAGACTCCTAAACCCTAAACCCCTAAACCCCAAACCCTAAACCCCTAAACCCCACACCCCCAAACCCTAAACCCCTGAAACTGTTCGCCGGGGGCTCAAAGGGAACCTCGAGTCTGGCGTGAAAGGCTTCGAAGAGCCATGGCGCCAAAGGGCGGCTTGGACCAGCTAGGGTTTAGGGTTTGGGGGGTTTTGTGGGGGGGCTTTAGTGTTTGGGATCAGGGCTTAGGATTTCGGATTTGGGCTTAGGGCTTCTTAGGGCTTAGGGATTTGTGTTTGAGGGTTGAGGGTTGAGGGCTTCACTTCTGGGTTACGGTTTGGGGTCCAGGGGATTAGGGTTTGGGGTTTAGGCTGTAGGATTGGGAGGGTGTAGAATTAGGGTTTAGTGCTCCGCGGGGCTTGGGTTCTGGCTTCAGTTGGTGGGGTTAGGAGTTTAGGTTTAGGGATTTCGGGTTCAGGGGGTTAGGGGTCTAGGTTCTGGGGTTTAGTCAGGGATTTGGGTATGGGTTTTCTTGATTCAGGGATAAGGGTTTAGGGCTTAGGGGTTGGGATGAGGAGTTCGCGTCTAGTTTGGGGTTCCGGGTCTAGTCATGCTACTGCGGGGTGGGCAGCCTTCTGGCGGATACGGTATATGATAGAATGTTATCCAATGCTATCCCCTTGCAGTCTTCACTTATCAGTGACTCAGTGGGCAGCACCCAAACCCCTAAACCCTAAACTCTAAACCATGTATCCCGAACCCTAGTCTCATGAGCAACGGTTTCGGATGAAGTTCTTGGAAGCATTCTTGAAGGCGCCCAAACTAACAGGACTTCCAAAAGGGCAACAGGAAGGACTGCTGTCCTCCGCACTATTGAACTAGTAAGAACGATAGTAATAGTCATCGGAATAAGTACTAGTGATAGAATAATATATATATAAGTAATCGCGATTATGAGGGCTGCCTCCTTGCAGTGGATAGTTACGTCTGTAGCAGCGCCTGAACTTCGAGAAGCGGCGGCTAAGCAAATATCAAGGGCCTTGCGAGTATTGGTACTTGGGGGGTCAGGGGGACTTAGTAAGTAGGTTAATAATGGGGATAAATGGGGTTACTATATGGGTTATAGGGTTATTAACCTACTTACTAAGTCTCCTTGACCCTCCAAGTAGGGTTCTTGTCAGTTGGTCTAGTGTAGTCAGCATTGAGCTCATCATCGTCGTTTACGCTTGGCTTCTGACAGTTAGTTAGCGAACTACTATGGCTATCTTCGTGGCAGCCATCAACATTCCTGTGTTTGCCGTTTTGTCCGTCGGTGCTGCAGGGATCTGGGGTTGTCTGCATGGAGGTTTCCACAAATAGGGGTCCCCCTTATATACCCCAAAATACTATGAATCCTTATGATAGGGGCTCCCAACCCTAAAGCCTAAGCCCTAAACCATAAACCCTTAACCCTAAGCTTCTTCCTGTATATTAAAAACTTCAACACGAAGCCGTTTTGAATAGGATTCGCTCGGCTAGTTTCAGTTCGACGGTTTAAAGTTTAGAGACCATGGCTTTGGCCCTAGGAAACTGTTTGATTCCATCTGAATTCCCTGCTCAAAGCAAAAGATGTTTTGAGGTTCCACGTTATTGTTCCCAGGGTTTAGGGTTTAGGGCTTTAGGGTCTAGCTAGGAAACTGCTTAAAGCAGAAAATTCTCTAATTTTCCGGGTTACTTCTCCCAAAACTGTACCCTAAATAGTCCCTTAACCCCAGCTTCGGCGCAAGAAAACTTCAGATTTCGAATGTCGGGTAGGGTATACCAAGGCCGAAAAATGGAGTTTAGGGCTTAGAAGCTGGAGCTCTTTCGGGTCTAAGGCAATCCTGAACCCTAGACCCTAAACCCCTATGACTCTTAAACCCTGAACCCCTAACCCCTCAACCCTTAGCCCGGCGGCCCTTGAACTCCTCAACCTAACGCTCACCCCTAAACCCTAAAATCCTTAAGCCTTGCTCCCACTCACGTACAGCTAAGGCAAGGGCACCACAAAGAAGGCCGAGAAGGCAGAGTGCTGCTTTGCCACGCTAGACTAGGGACATCGCTCAAGTGCAATGGTGCGCTTTATCCTTTTTGGGCTATGGGAGTCCTTATACTTATGTAAGAAGGATCCTTCTTTGTACGATCACCAACCCAAATGGGGGCTGGTCGGCACCAGCCAGACGGAACCTTTTTTCTTCGATGGGTAATGTGGGCTGAGTTCAGGGTTTCCTTGAATTCATTTTGAATGGTTTTAAACATCATCCTTCTGGTGCATAAACGGCTCCGCAATGCCTTCAAAGTGTTTATTAGTGTGGTTTGGGGAGCCCGTTTATGGGAATATATATATATATATATAATGCAGATATTTAGTGTCTAGAGATTTGGGTTTGGGGTGTCCAAAACTTGGAACTTTCGTTTTGGCGGCCTCTGGAAGAAGTATTACAGGCTGTCAGTGTAATGTCCGGAGGTCTGTTTTCTTGCAAAGACCAACCCTAAACACCCCAAACCCTAAACCCTGATTAAGCCCTAAACTCCCTAAAACTCCCTAAACACTAAGCCCTAAACTCCGCAAGCCCTAAAACTTCCTAAGCCCTA